ATATCTGTCTAAATCATTTCATGACTATTCATATCTCTATCTATCTGTCTAAATCATTTCATGACTATTCATATCTCTATCTGTCTAAATTATTTCATGACTATACATATCTATCTGTCTGTCTAAATTATTTCATGACTATTCATATCTATCTATCTGTCTAAATTATCTCATGACTATTCATATCTATCTATCTGTCTAAATTATTTCATGACTATTCATATCTATCTGCCTGTCTAAATTATTTCATGACTATTCCTATCTATCTATCTATCTATCTATCTATCTATCTATCTATCCACCTGTCTAAATTATTTCATGACTATTCATATCTATCTATCTATCTATCTATCCACCTGTCTAAATTATTTCATGACTGTTCATATCTATCTATCTATCTATCTATCCTGTCTAAATTATTTCATGACTGTTCATATCTATCTATCTATCCACCTGTCTAAATTATTTCTATCTGTTTAAATTATCTATCTATCTATTCTCATCTGTCTAAATTCATATTTCATGATTATTTCACATCTATCTGTCTAAATTATTTCTACGACCATTCATATTCATCTATCTGTCTAAATTATATTCATCTATCTTATTAATGACTATACATCTGTCTATCTGTCAAAATTATTTCATGACTATTCCTTATCTATCTATCACAATCAAATTATTTCATGACTATTCATTCATCTATCTGTCTGAATTATTTCATGACTATTCATATCTATCTATCTGTCTAAATTATTTCATTACTATTCCATATCTGTCTAAATTATTTCATGACTATTCATATCTATCTATCTGTCTAAATTATTTCATGACTATTCACATTCATTCATATGTCTAAATTATTTCCTATTTATTCACTATCTATCTGTCTGAATTATTTCATGACTATTCATATCTATCTATCTGTCTAAATTATTTCATGACTATTCATATCTATCTATCGTCTAAATTATTTTGACTATTCATTCATGTATCTATCCGTCTAAATTATTTCATTGACTATTCATATCTATCTGTCTGAATTATTTCCATGACTATTCTACATTCCATCTATCTGTCTAAATTATTACATGAGACTATTCATATTCATCTATCTGTCTAAATTCATTCCATGACTATTCATATCTGTCTGTCTGAATTATTTCATGACTATTCATATATCTATCTGTCTATATTATTTCATGACTATTCTATCTATCTATCTGTCTAAATTATTTCATGACTATTCATATCTATTTTATCTGTCCGTCCAATTATTTCATGACTTTTCTTCTTATCTATCTATCTGTCTGAATTATTTTCATGACTATTCATATTCATTATCAGTTCAAATTATTTCATTACTATTCATATCTATCTATCTGTCTAAATTATTTCATGACTATTCATATCTATCTGTCTGTCTAAATTATTTCATATTTATTCATATCTATTCATCTGTTAAATTATTTCATGACTATTCATATTCATCTGTTCAAATTATTTCTTGACTATTCATATCTATCTATCTGTCTAATTTATTTCCATTACTATTCATATTCATCTATCTGTCTAAATTATTTCATGACTATTCATATCTATCTATCTGTCTAAAATTATTTCATGACTATTCATATTCATCTATCTATCTGTCTAAATTATTTCATGACTATTCATATTCATCTGTCTGAATAATTTACATGACTATTCATATCTATCTATCTGTCTAAATTATTTTCATGACTATTCATATCTATCTATCTGTCTGTATTTTCAAATTATTTCATGATTATTTCATATTCATCTATCTGTCTAAATTATTTTCATGACTATTCATATCTGTCTATCTGTCTGAATTATTTCATGACTATTCATACTCTATCCATTGTCTAAATGTCTATTTCATTACTAATATTCTGTCTATCTCTGTCTAAATTATTTCATGACTATTCACATTCATCTATCTGTTAAAATTATTTATTGACTATTCATATCATCTATCTGTCTAAAATTATTTCATGACTATTCTTATCTATCTATCTGTTCAAGGTATTTTCATGACTATTCACATCTATCTATCTGTTCAAATTATTTCCCATGACCATTCACATTCATCTATCTGTCTAAATTATTTCTTACGACTCTTTCATATCTATCTATCTGTCTGAATTCATATTTTATGACTATTCATATCTATCTATCTGTCTAAAATTGTTTCATTACTATTCATATCTATCTATCTTAAATTATTTCATGACTATTCATATTCTATCTATCTGTCTAAAATTATTTCATGACTATTTCATATTCATCTATCTAAATTGTTTTCATTACTATTCATATCTATCTATCTGTCTAAATTATTTCATGACTATTCATTCATCTATCTATCTGTCTAAATAAGGCTATTTCATGACTATTCATATTCATTCATATCTGTCAAAATTATTTGTTTATTCACATCTATCTATCTGTCTAAATTATTTCATGACTATTCATATCTATCTCTAAATTATTTCATGACTTTCTTATCTATTCATCTGTCTAAATTATTTCAGTAATTTTCATATTCATCTGTCTGAATTATTTCATTGCTATTCTTATCTGTCTGTCTAAATTATTTCATGACTATTCATATCTATCTATCTGTCTAAATTATTTCAAGAAAGACTATTCTCTGTTCATTCATCTGTCTAAATTCATTTCTATCTGACTATTCATTTATTCCTTCATCTGTTCAAATTATTTCATGACTATTCATATCTATCTATCTGTCCAAAATTATTTCAGTACTATTCATATCTATCTGTCTGAATTATTTCATTTATTCATATCTATCTGTCTAAAATTATTTCATGACCTTCATATCTATATCTGTCTAAATTATTTCATGACTATTCATATCTATTCATTCGTCTAAATTATTTCAATTTTATTCATATCTCTTATCTGTCTAATTTTATTTCATTACTATTCAGGATCTCATTCATCTGTCTAAATTATTTCATTATTCATATCTATCTGTCATAAATTGACTTTTCATGACTATAAATTATTCACTATCTATCTATCTGTCCAAATTATTTCATGACTATTTCATCTATCTGTCTGGTTAAATTTCATTGACTATTCCTTATCTATCTGTCTGAATTATTTCATGACTTTCCATATTCATTATCTGTCTAAATTATTATTTCATGACTATTCATATCTATCTATCTGTCTAAAATTATTTCATGACTATTCTATCTATCTATCTATCTATCTGTCTATCTATCTGTCTTCTTGTCATGATTTTTTCATATCTATCTATCTGTCTGAATTATTTCATGACTATTCATATCTATCTATCTGTCTAAATTATTTCCATATTCATCTATCTGTCTAAATATATTTCTGTCTATCTATCATATCTATATCATCTGTCTATAAATTATCTGTCTATCATCTATCTTCATATCTATCTATCTATCTAAATTATTTCATGACTATCTTATCTATCTATCTGTCATATTATTTCATGACTATTCTATCTATCTCATCTGTCTAAATTATTTCAAGGACTTTTCTATCTATCTATCTGTCTATCTATTATTTCATGACTATTCATATCTATCTATCTAAGTCTTGAATTATTTCATGACTATTCATATCTATCTGTATCTATCTATCTCATCTATTCTATCTGTCTAAATATCTATCTAACTATTCACCTTCTATCTATCTGCTCCACCATTTCTATCTATTCTATCTATTCATCTGTCTAAATTATTTCATGACTATTCATATCTATCTGTCTGAATCATTTCTGACTATTCTATTCATTAATCTTAAATTTCTCCATGACTATTTATCTATCTATCTATCTAAATTATTTCATGACTATTCTTATCTATCTATCTATCTAATCTATCTATCTATCTGTCTATCTATGACTATTCTATCTATCTAAGTTATTTCATGTATCTATCTCATCTATCTATCTGTCTAAATTATTTCATGACTATTTATTCATCTATCTATCTAATTATCTCATCTTTCACATCTATCTATCTTATCCTTCTTATTTCTGACTATTCATATTCATCTATCTATCTATCTATTCTATCTATGTCTAAATTAGTCTTATCATTCTTATTCATCTATCTATCTAATCTATCTATCTATTCTATCTATCTATCTGTCTACATTATTTCATCATCTATTCATCTATCTATCTGTCTATCTTCTATCTAAGTCTTCACATCTAACTATCTGTCTACAAATCTATCTATCTCATGACTATTCATAAGTATTATCTTCCAAATCTATCATGACTATTCTATCTATCCATCTATCTAAATTATTTCATGACTATCTTATCTATCTATCTATCTATCTATTACATTCATTCTTGTCTAAATTATTTCTTATCTATCTATCTATCTGATCTATCTATCTATCTATCATCTATCTATCTAAAGTCTTTTCATGACTATCTATCTATCTATCTATCTATCTATCTATCTATTCTATCTATTCATCGGTCTAAATTATCCTTCCTTCCTATCTATCTATCTATCTATCTATCTATCATGACTATTCTATCTATCTATCAAAGTCTTCTTCTTATCTACATCTATCTATCTGTTCAAATTATCTCTACGACTATTCTATCTATCTGTCTAATCTTCATGACTATCTTGCCTATCTATCTATCTAAATTTATTTCAGTACTATTCATCTATCTATCTGTCAATTATTTCCTTACTTATTCTATCTATCTGTCTAAATTATTTATCTATTCTTATCTATCATCTGTCAAAATTATCTTATCCTTCATATCATCTATCTATCTAAATTATTTCATGACTATTCATATCTATCTATCTGTCTATCCATGACTATTCATATCTATCTGTCTTCAGTACTATTCTCTATCTATGAATTATTTCTTACTATTCTATCTATCTGTTCAAATTATTTCATGACTATTCATATCTATCTATCTAAATTATTTCATGACTATTCATATCTATCTGTCTAAATTATTTCATGACTATTCATATCTATCTATCTGTCTAATTTATTTATCTATCTATCTATCTATCTGTCTAAATTATTTCATGACTATTCTTATTATCTATCTGTCTAAATTATTTCTATCTATTCTATCTATCTGTCTAAGTATTTCACCTATTCATATCTATCTGTCTGAATATTTTCTTTCTGACTATCTATCTATCTATGTCTAAATTATTTCTGACTATCTATCTATCTATCTGTCTAGGGTATTTTGATCAGTATATCTATTCATCTGTCTATTTCTGACTATTCATATTGTTTCAAATTATTTATCTATTCACATCTATCTATCTATCTATCTATCCATGACTATTCATATCTATCTATCTTCTTATCTATCTATTCTATCCATCTATCTGTCTATTCTACGACTATCTATCTCTGTCTTATTTCATGACTATTCATCTATCTATCTGTCTAAATTATTTAGACTATTCTAAGTCTTCCATCTGTCTAAATTATTCTATGACTATTCATATTCATCTATCTGTCTAAATTCTTTCCTGAGTTTTCACCTTCTTATCTATCTGTCTGAATTATCTATGACTATCTATCTATCTGTCTAAATTATTTCCCCATTACTATTCATATCTATCTGTCTAAATTATTGTCTGTCTACTTCACATTCATCTATCTTCTAAATTATTCTTTCATATCTATCTCTATCTATCTGTCTAAATTATTCCATGACTATTCTATCATCTGTCCTGTCTAAATCTATCAGCGACTATCTATCTATCTATCTATCTATCTTATTCCTTCTTGACTATTCTATCTATCTATCTGTCTATCTATCTATCTATTCATATCTATCTGTCTAAGTCTTATCTTCATATCTATCTATCTATCTATCTGTCATAAATCTATCTATCTACATCTATTCATATTCATTCATCTGTCTTAAATTATTTCATATCTATTCATATCTATCTATCTGTCTAAGTCTTATTTCTATCTATCTATTCACATTCTATCTATCTGTCTAAATCTATCTATCTATGACTTATCCTTCTTATCTGTATCTGACTATCTATCAATCTATCTATCATCTATTCTATCTATCTAATTATTTCATGACCTTCTTATCTATTTGTCTAAATTCTTTCTATGACTTATTCTTATCTATCTATCTATATAAATTATTTCGCTCAATCTATCTATTCATCTATCTATCTTAAAATTATTTCTATTCTTCATCTGTCTAAATTATTCTATCTATCTGTCTATCTATCTATCTAATCTAAGTCTTGACCTTCTTCATCTATCAAATTATTTCATGACTTTTATCTATCTATCTCTAAATCATTTCATGACTATTCACATCTATCTATCTGTCTATCTATCTTTCACAGACTATTCTATCATCTATCTGTCTTATCCTTATTTCTATCTACTATTCATTCATCTATCTATCTATCTATCTATCTGATTTTCATGACTATTCTTATCTATCTATCTAAATTATTTCTATCTATCTATCTATCTATCTGTCTAAATTAAGTCTTGACTTATTCATCTATCTATCTGTCTAAAATTATCTAAGTCTTATTCATATCTATCCTGTCTATCTATATATCTATCTATTCTATCTATCTATCTGTTCAAATTATATCATGATCTATCCTTATCTATCTATCTTGTCTAAATTATTTCATGACTATTTATCTATCTATCTGTCAAAATTATTTCATGTCTATTCTATCTATCTATCTTGTCTAAATTATCTTCCTATCTATCTATCTATCTATCTGTCTAAATGGTTTCATGACTATTCATATCTATCTATCTGTATCAAATTATCTAGTACTATTCATATCTATCTTTGTCTGAATTCCCCATTACTATTATCTAAGTCTAAATTCTTCTTATTCATATCTATCTGTCCCTATTTCTATCTATATTCATTCATCTGTCTAAATTATCTGACTATTCTATCTATCTAAATTATTTCTTGACTATCCATCTATCTGTCTAAATCTTCTCCTTCCTAATCCATCTGTCTATCTATCTATTCTGTCTAAATCTTTCATGGAATTCTTCATTCATTATCTAAATTTCATGACTATTCATAATTCATCTATCAAATTATCTATCTATTCTATCTAATTATTTCATGACTATTCTTATCTATCTGTCTAAATCATTTCATGATCTGTCTATCAAATTATTTCCCCTCTATCTATCTATCTAAATTATTTCATGACTATTCATATCTATCTATCTGTCTAAATTATCTCATGACTATTCTATCTATCTATCTGTCTAATCTAAGTCTTGACTATTCATATCTATCTATCTATCTAAATTATTTCATTACTATCATATATCTATCTGTCTAAATTATTTCATGAAGTCTTATCCATCTTCTAAATTATTTCATGACCATTCATATTCATCTATCTGTCATCTATCTATCTAAGTCTCATTCCTTCTTATCATATCTATCTGTCTGATCTATGACTATTCTATCTATCTAAATCATCATGACCATTCTATCTGTAAGTCTTATTCTTCTATTCATCTATCTATCTATCTATCAATCTATCTATTATCTATGACTTATTCATATCTTCATCTGTATAAATCTATTTATCTATCTATTCATATCCTAAGTCTTATCCTTCTTATTTCATTACTATTCATATCTATCTATCTATCCATTCTATCTAAGTCTTTCCACCTGTTCTTATTTCACATCTATTCACTCATCGAAATTATCTATCTATCTATCTATCTATCCAGTCATTTAAATCCTTCATCTATTCTCATCTATCTATCCTATCTATCTATCATATTCATCTGTATCTATCTATACAAGTCTACTTCACCCTATCCTATCTTCTCCCCTTCCTATCTATCTATCTATCTATCTATCTATCAAAAGTCTTCACATTCTTATCTATCTATCTATCTATCTGTCTATCTATCTATCTATCTATCCTATCTATCGTCTCCTCCTTCTTATCTATCCTATCTATCTATCTATCTATCTATCTGTCTATCTATCTATCTAGAATTCTTGTATCATACCACTATCTATCTATCTATCTATCTATCTATCTATCTATCTATCTATCTATCTATCTATCTATCTAAATTATTTCTGACTATTCATATCTATCTATCTGTCTAAAATTATTTCATTTATTCATATCTATCTGTCTAAAATTATTTCATGACTATTCATCTATCTATCTGTCTAAATTATTTCATGTTTATTCATATCTATCTATCTGTCTATCTATTTCATATCTATCTATCTGTCTAAATTATTTATTCATCTATCTCTCTGTTCTTATTTCATTTTCTATCTATCTCTCTGTAAATTATTTTCATGACTATTCTTATCTATCTATCTGTCAAAATTATTTCATGACTATTCATATCTATCTATCTGTCTAAATTATTTCATGACTATTCATATCTATCTATCTGTCTAAATTATTTCATGACTATTCATATCTATCTATCTGTCTAAATTATTTCAGTACTATTCATATCTATCTGTCTGAATTATTTCATTACTATTCATATCTATCTGTCTAAATTATTTCATGACTATTCATATCTATCTATCTGTCTAAATTATTTCATGACTATTCATATCTATCTATCTGTCTAAATTATTTCATGACTATTCATATCTATCTATCTGTCTAAATTATTTCATGACTATTCATATCTATCTATCTGTCTAAATTATTTCATTACTATTCATATCTATCTATCTGTCTAAATTATTTCATGACTATTCATATCTATCTGTCTAAATTATTTCATGACTATTCATATCTATCTATCTGTCTAAATTATTTCATGACTATTCATATCTATCTATCTGTCTAAATTATTTCATGACTATTCATATCTATCTATCTGTCTAAATTATTTCATGACTATTCATATCTATCTATCTGTCTAAATTATTTCATGACTATTCATATCTATCTATCTGTCTAAATTATTTCAGTACTATTCATATCTATCTGTCTGAATTATTTCATTACTATTCATATCTATCTGTCTAAATTATTTCATGACTATTCATATCTATCTATCTGTCTAAATTATTTCTTGACTATTCATATCTATCTATCTGTCTAAATTATTTCATGATATTCATATCTATCTGTCTAAATTTTTCATTACTATTCATATCTATCTATCTGTCTAAATTATTTCATGACTATTCATATCTATCTATCTGTCTAAATTATTTCATGACTATTCATATCTATCTATCTGTCTAAATTATTTCATGACTATTCATATCTATCTGTCTGTCTAAATTATTTCATGACTATTCATATCTATCTATCTGTCTAAATTATTTCATGACTATTCATATCTATCTATCTGTCTAAATTATTTCATGACTATTCATATCTATCTGTCTAAATTATTTCATGACTATTCATATCTATCTGTCTAAATTATTTCATGATTATTTATATCTATCTATCTGTCTAAATTATTTCATGACTATTCATATCTATCTATCTGTCTAACTATTTTCATGACTATTTCCTATCTATCTATCTGTCTAAATTATTTCATGACTATTCATATCTATCTGTCTAAATTGTTTCATGACTATTCATATCTATCTGTCTAAAATTATTTCATGACTATTCATATCTATCTATCTGTCTAAATTATTTCATTGACTATTCATATCTATCTATCTGTCTAAATTATTTCATGACTTTTTCATATCTGTATCTATCTGTCTGACTATTATAATTATTTCTGTCTAACTTATTCGTACTATTCTATCTATCTGTCTCAAATTATTTCATGACTATTCCATATCTATCTATCTGTCTAAATTATTTCATTACTATTCATCTATCTATCTGTCTAAATTATTTCATGACTATTCATATCTATCTATCTGTCAAAATTATTTCACCATCTATTCATATCTATCTATCTGTCTAAATTATTTCTTGACTATTCATCTATCTATCTGCAAAATTATTTCATGACTATTCATATCTATCTATCTGTCTAAATTATTTCATGACTATTCCTTGTATCTATCATCTATCTATTCTATCTATCTGTCTAAATTATTTCAGTATATTCATACTATTCATTTATCTATCTATCTGTCTAAATTATTTCATGACTATTCATATCTATCTATCTGTCAAAATTATTTCTTGATTTATTCATATCTATCTATCTGTCTAAATTATTTCATTGACTATTATCTATCTATCTTTCTAAATTATTTCATGACTATTCATATCTATCTTATCTGTCTAAATTTTTTTACTATCATATCTATCTATCTTCATTGTTTCTATCTCACATCTATCTGTCTAAATTATTTCATGACTATTCATATCTATCTATCTGTCTAAATTATTTCTTGACTATTCATATCTATCTATCTGTCTAAATTATTTCATGACTATTTATATCTATCTGTCTAAATTATTTCATTACTATTTCATATCTATCTATCTGTCTGAATTATTTCATGACTATTTCATCTATCTATCTGTCTAAATTTCTCGTGACTATTATCTATCTATCTATACAAATTATTTCATGACTATTCATATCTATCTATCTGTCTAAATTATTTCATGACTATTCATATCTATCTAAATTATTTCATGACGATTCATATCTATCTATCTATCCACCTGTCTAAATTATTTCATGACTATTCATATCTATCTGTCTGTTTAAATTATTTCATGACTATTCATATCTATCTATCTATCTATCTATCTATCTGGCAAAATTATTTCATGACTATTCATATCTGTCTAAATTATTTCATGACTATTCATATCTATCTATCTGTCTAAATTATTTCATGACTATTCATATCTATCTGTCTAAATTATTTCATGACTATTCATATCTATCTATCTGTCTAAATTATTTCAGTACTATTCATATCTATCTGTCTGAATTATTTCATTACTATTCTATCTATCTATCTATACAAAATTATTTCATTACTATCTTTATCTATCTATCTATCTAAATCTGTCTAAATTGTTTCATTACTATTCATATCTATCTAGAATTATTTTTTATTTATTTCTGTCTATCTATCTATCTATCCTAAATTGTTTCATGACTATTCTTATCTATCTATCTGTCTATCTGAATTATTTCACTTGACTATTCATATCTATCTGTCTGTCTAAATTATTTTCTTGATTATTCATATCTATCTATCTGTCTAAATTGTTTCATTCATATCTATCTATCTGTCTAAATTGTTTCATGACTGTTCATATCTTTCTATCTGTCTAATTTATTTCATTGCCTATTAGATCTGTCTGTCTGTCTAGAAATTATTTCCGCATTTATTCATATCTATCTATCTGTCTAAATTGTTTCATGACTATTCATATCATCTCTATCTGTCTAAATTATTTCATGACTGTTCATATCTATCTATCTTAATCATTTCATATTTCTTCATATCTGTCTGTCTGAATTATTTCATGACTATTCATATCTATCTATCTGTCTAAATTATTTCGCATTTCTTCATATCTATCTATCTGTCTAAATTATTTCATGACTATTCGCGTTATCTATCTATGTCTAATTCTGTCGTTATCTATCTATCTCTCAATTCTGAGCGTTATCTATCTATGTCTAATTCTGTCCGTTATCTATCTATGTCTAATTCTGAGCGTTATCTATCTATGTCTAATTCTGAGCGTTATCTATCTATGTTAATTCTGAGCGTTATCTATCTATGTCTAATTCTAAGCGTTATCTATCTATGTCTAATTCTGCAAGGTTATCTATCTATGTCTAATTCTGAGCGTTATCTATCTATGTCTAATTCTGAGCGTATCTATCTATGTCTAATTCTGAGCGTTATCTATCTATGTCTAATTCTAGGCGTTATATTCATATCTGTATCTAATTCTGTCCCTTATCTATCTATGTCTAATTCTGAGCTTTATCTATCTATGTCTAATTCTGAGTGTTATCTATCTATGTCTAATTCTGAGCGTTATCTATCTATGTCTAATTCTGAGCGTTATCTATCTATGTCTAATTCTGAGCGTTATTTATCTATGTCTAATTCTGTCCCTTATCTATCTATCTATGTCTAATTCTGAGCGTTATCTATCTATGTCTAATTCTGAGCGTGTCTATCTATTCTAATTTGAGTTATCTATCTATGTCTAATTCTGTCCTTTATCTATCTATAATAATTGAGCGACATCTATCTATGTCTAATTCTGCGTTATCTATCTATATGTCTAATTCTGCCGTTATCTATCATGTCTAATTCTGAGCGTTATCTATCTATGTCTAATTCTGAGCGTTACTCATCACATGTCTAATTCTGATGTTACTATCTATGTCTAATTCTGAGCGTTATCTATCTATATACAATTCTGGCATTATCTATCTATGTCTAATTATGTCCTCCTTATCTATCTATATGTCTAATTCTGAGCGTTATCTATCTATCTAATTCTGTCCGTTATCTATCTATGTCTAATTCTGGCAATTTATCTATCTATATGTCTAATTCTGAGCGTTATTTATCTATGTCTAATTCTGTCCCTTATCTCTATCTATGTCTGAGCGCGTCTAATTTGAGCGTTATTATCTATGTCTAATTCTGGAGCGTTATCTATCTATGTCTAATTCTGTCCCATATCTATCTATGTCTAATTCTGAGCTTTATCTATCTATGTCTAATTCTGAGCGTTATCTATCTATGTCTAATTCTAGGCGTTATCTATCTATGTCTAATTCTGAGCGTTATCTATCTATGTCTAATTCTGTCATATCTATCTATGTCTAATTCTGAGCGTTATCTATCTATGTCTAATTAAGGCGTTATCTATCTATGTCTAATTCTGTCCCTTATCTATCTATGTCTAATTCTGAGGCGTTATCTATCTATGTTCAATTCTGTCCCTATTCTATCTATGTTAATTCTGAGCGTTATCTATCTATGTCTAATGTCACCATCTGTCTAATTCTGTCCCTTTATCTATCTATGTCTAATTCTGGGCGTCCTTTATCTATCTATGTCTAAGTTTCTATGCCAGTATCTATCTAGGCGTTATCTATCTATGTCTAATTCTAGGCGTTATCTATCATGTCTAAATTCTATGCGTAATCTAT